CGTCGGAACGAAGTTACGGAAAGTTAATTAACAACCGGAGACGTAACAATACCTAGTTTTTAGTTAAGAAACTTTTACACAAAGATTGTTCTATTCATTCAGTGCTTTAATTCCCGATTTTCTTTAGTATGAAATTTTATGGTAAATAAGTTTTAAAGGCGTCAGACTTCAGTTAAGATTTCTTGAGGTAGTCTAATGGTTAATGCTGCTTTTTCTCTGCAGAAGTATCCTGGTAAAGTTTAAGTGATTATCACCTGTTTTTTGTCTGGGAGCACTTCTAGTTTAATACACATCTTTAGCAATTTGAGGCATCATTCTATTGGATAGTTTTTGCAGCTCCATATAAATGCAGTTGTTTTCGACCCACATTGACTAATGCATATCACTATCACAACGAAAACAGAATTTGGTTACTTTTATGTAGAACTGTTCCACGAAACATACACATTATGAGACTTTGACATAGGTCTCTTAAGCAAAATTCCAAATATAACTTTTGATGTTAGGCCTACATGTAACGTATAATATACTAATATCTTAATTGCATAAATTGTGTTATAAAAATGCAAGCCTTACGAGAATTTGAATGTGGTCCAAATAATCTTATGAACCGATTTATGATAACTGCTTTTGCATTAATTATATATTACGTGCATTACAAACAGTTTGAGCCAAATGTGTTGGTAACCCCTACAGGTATTTAAAAAACATGGAAAGCTATTGATTGAATTATTAATTTGTAAAATTTCTTATAAAGTTCATCTTGTTATAAAAATTAATACAGACTAATAAGTAAGCTTCGCACAGGAGACAGGTGTTTCATAATTGCCTTGATGTCCACAATCGACAAAGTTCCATTTTATTTTAAATAAAAGTTTATTCTAATCTTTGGATATTGAGCATCAGGACAATTTACAGATACTAGCTTGGTATATATAAAAAAAATGGTTTTATAAAAAATGCAAAAGTATAAATAGGAAATAAACTTTGTACAACTTTACAAAATGTCAGTAGCATGATTATACACCTATATACAGGAGTTTCAACTGGTTTTAAAAGTTGTACAAGATGAATAACGTGTTTTGTTTTGCACATTTAAAGAAAGTTGCAAAAGGGCTATCTGCATATAGCTCTCCCTAATTTCAAATTGAAAGGCTAGAGGGAGGTCAGCTAGTCAACAGCACCCACCACCAGCTCTTGGACTACTCTAACCGGATAGCGGGATTTAACAGTCTCCGTTTTAATGAGCCCATGGCCTTAAAGTGTTAAACACAGTTTTGCAGCACCAGGGTGCAAACTATGATGGATCCTTGGCTTCACATTTCATCAAGTCAACTATTGAGCAACACCCAACCCATGGATGAGAATTGTGAAAAATAATTCAGAATAAAACTGATCAAAATATTATTTTGTTTAGAGGGAATGGTTTATGTTTTGGATAAAATAACGAATGTCTTTTAACAATTTTTATAATTGGGTAAAAAAAAACATCACAAAAACCTTACAGGTATAAAAGCCAGTAGTAAGTTTTCAATGTATTTAAAATGTCAGTTTTGGTTAACCTGTCAAAGAGGTCTTCAGAAAAAAGAAAAGAATGTAAGAAAAAAGTCACAATTTGAAAATTTATGTTTATAGTTTTTTAAGTTTGTAGAAGTTGAAATATTGAACTATTCCATTTATTCATGTGATGATTGACCTCATATATGCCTCTTTTCATATAATGTTACATATCATGTATCATGGTATTATCTTAAAAATGTTTTTTTGTTGTATTACATTACATCCTGTTTGGGTATCATAAAATTTGACTTTTTTTTTTCTAGCCAAAAGTGTGACTATTTTTCCTGTGACTTTATTTCTAGCCACCAAAAAAAAAAAACAACAACATGTAAAACTTGTATGCATAGTGAAAATGTAGCTTGTATGTAGAACACTACAAATATGCATTATAATAAATTTACATTAGTTGTTTGTTACATTCTGGGCAAAGCTACTCAATGGCTATCTATACTACATGTTCCTAATTTTGAAGTAATAGATTAGAGGGTAGATAGTTAATCAATTCTATTCACTACCTACACTTTAACAATGAATAATGAGATTGACCATTACATTATAATGTCCCAAGAGCTAAAAGGACAAGTATGTTTGGTAACAGATTTTGATCCCATGATTCACATATTGCAAGGTGAGCACCTTAACCACCAAGCCCTGAATATATATATTAATATCAAGTTCCTAATCCCTCATTTGGTTATACCTACTTTTTGGGGGGTTCTCTCTGTATTTCAAACTTTGACGAACACTTATAACAGGAATTCAATGATGTGCTCATACTTTTTTTTTAGGGTCACAAACATCAACAGCATGTAATAAGAGAATTCTACTACAAAATATAATTTAGCAAAATAACCACAACAATAAAAGTTATTTGTTTGGAAAAAACAAATGTACATTTTATAAAATCAAGAAATGAATGCAGCCCATTTCATTGTTTTCCAATAATATAAAAAGACTCCATATTTGAACAAAACATTAGACTAATTTAAAGGTATGAACTGTTTTATAACTATGTTGACGATAAGTGAAATAATTGTTTACACTTATTCATTTTACCAATTTGAATTTCACATGGATTAGATTACTTCCATATCAAGTTTGTATAAAAAATAAATACATTACTTTTATACATATGCAACTGCTATATTCCTTAATATTCAGACCCCTTTTTCTTTTTACACTGGTATAAATTTCTTCCAGTTACTTATATTTTAAAAGCAAAGATTTTGTTTGCTTATTGTTAAGCACAAAGCAACATAATGGGCTATCTGTGTTCTGCTCACCACAGGTATCAAAACCTGATTTTTAGCAATATAAACCTTCAGACTTACCACTGAGTCACCAGTGAGCTAAAAGCAAAGAGTAGGACTCCTTATTACGTTTGCTTATTGTTAAGCACAAAGCAACATAATGGGCTATCTATGCTCTGCTCACCACAGGTATCAAAACCTGATTTTTAGCAATATAAACCTTCAGACTTACCACTGAGTCATCATGGAGCTAAAATCAAAGAGTACGACTCCTTATTACGTTTGCTTATTGTTAAGCACAAAGCAACATAATGGGCTATCTGTGCTCTGCTCACAACAAGTATCAAAACCTGATTTTTAGCAATATAAACCTTCAGACTTACCACTGAGTCACCAGGGAGCTAAAATCAAAGAGTAGGACTCCCTATTACGTACGAGTATTTTTAAAGAGTGTAAGGTAAAGAGATTCTTTCTTCCTATCGTTAATGAGAGTTTCGTTGGTGTACACATTTTTCACAGATTTGGTACTCCATGAATTTTGCTTAATTTTAGATCTTCTTAAGTATCATTCAGTTGATAAACTATGAACTTAACCAACTTGTAAATGTACACTTGTGTAATGTTAAGCCTCGAAAGTAGCCAAACCTATCTACACAAAATTTATACAAATTATTTTCTTCTGTTCTACATGCAACATTGGTTTTGGTTCAACGCTCAGTATACGTACCTGTAACTGAAATGTTAACTTTTATAATACAATGCATGGTACATGTAAATTCCAAAAACGAAATTTTTTAAAATTCAAAGAGAAATTAGAATTTTCAAGCTGAAAATATGCAAACATGGGTTTCACATCCAGGTCAGAGACCCCTAGGGTTCAGGTATAGCCATCCAGCATCTCTTGAGCTACTGACTAGAGGAAAAGCACCATCCATTAGAGTTTGGAAATGAACAGTGGGATTGAATGTCACTTTTATAACAAATGCACATCTGGAAGTGCAGAGCAAGGTCAGTGGCATCACATCTTGAACCCTGGATCCTTCAATACACTACTTGACATGCTAACTACTACACTATGCTTAGTCCACAATTAACAAAGAACACATTTTTCTATAAACTTAATCATTAATTGCAGGATTCAAAATAATTGGTATTCATATGTCACCAAGGCAATTTTTCAAGGTGTACTAATTTTTGCAAATATTTAATAATTCAACTGCAGTTGGTCTTTTCAACAACAAAACTTAAAAGAAAAAAAAAGGTATTGCAGATACACATATGACCTATATATTCCAAGTTTTATTTTTCTTGAAAAAATTAAGATATGGAAAATATAGTAAAATCTTCTTAGTAAATGTTTTTGCACTAATTTTGAAACTGTTAAAAATAAGGTTTTACTTACAGAGACAGCTGTGTCAACAATCTAAAAAAAGTATTTTAACCATAGTTAGCTATGAAATACAAAGTCATTAATTATTTGGATCAGCAAAGAAAATTAAGACAACATTAATTTCTCCATCAGAATTATCCATTCACTGATAACTTATTTCCCAAATAATTAATTTTTAGTAAATCATCTCATTATTGTAATTTCAATATCAGTATGATTGTAATGTTAAATAAATAAGAAGTATGATGCCAATGTATAACACCACTTTATTTACTAAAACATGTACAGCTTCAAATAACAAGCAATATTGTAAAATCAACAAACATGAGTAATTAAATAACTTTTTGACTTCTAAGGAAGTTTAAAAAGTATATGAAAAAATACGCACACTAACATACATGGCCTAAAAATGCTGCTACATCTGTATTATGAAAATGAGAATTAAAAAATCCAATATCGCACCTCTGATTTGACTCAAATGCTGAATGTATAATCGCAAAAATAAAAACACAAATATTGCATAGACAACACATTAATAACAAAATAAAATTATTATAATCATTTATAAATGGTAACACAATAATAATAACAATACAGGACTGAAAGAAGGATAATAAAAACACACCAAAAATACTGGTTTTAGACTTCAGCAACATGGAAATAGATAACCATAGCATACTGTACGTCTCATTTTCACTAATATACGACATAAATGTAGATGTTGCACTTTTTAATGACCAAAAACAAAAGGAAATAACTTATAACTGCAGATATAAAAGTGGAAAAAGTACCACTACATCATACATATACAAGTATCTAAACAATATTCAACATTCAGGGCCCCATATACTTATCACCCATTTCTCATTATTTTGTTGCAGTTCACAATTATACAAGAATTATGGTAAACTAGTATCATAAATGGGTGTAATAAAATTTAGTTTACTAAAAATCAATGATTCTATACTGCATTACTGCAAATAAAATCTTGAGATATTCTACATCAAGAATAGCAGTTATTAACTGTAAACATTTTTAGTCCAAAAGAATTTTATTACAATCAACATGTTTTCATCAGAGAAAAAGTGTATCAAACATTATGCACTGACATTTAAAATACTTACTACTGGTTTCTGAAAACTAAATGTATATTTTTAGTTTCAAAGACACTTGGTGAAGAAAGAAAAACTACCATCTTTATAGAAGTGCACGTCTTTCTTGTACATTAGTTGTAGCTCTTTTCTGTTAACTTTAATATCTGTATGTTTCAAAATGTTAAAGTACAGTAAAAGATGACTGTATGGTTTAATTTTGATACATACAAAACAAGCAGTAATAATGAATAATAATATAATACAAATTATAAATTGACAGTACTTTAACTAATTCTACACATTTCCCATTTAAAAAATAAAAATGAGAGTTTGTAGCTGTTAAGAATACCCCCGTGCGGCATATTTTTTACGTGACCTTTACTTAAACACAAAGAAATAAATTTTTGAATGAAGGACTTCTAGATAAGCAAACAAGCACTTCTGTTGAAATAGTGGTCATTCAGATAGTCACAAATCCATTTACTTGAACTTCTTAAACTAAAATATTTGTTCACCAAAAAAATGTAATACAAAAACAGATGTGTTTGAAAAAGTATCACATCATGAAAAAGTGTTCACGTGAGATTCAGATTCACATTAAAAAATGCATGCTGTAAACAATGTATTTCAAAAAACATTAGCCTTGCATTTAAACAATACCATATACAATTTTCAGTTATTCTTTCATTTGACATCCGTATAAAAATTACAATTCTGGAAGAAACTTCACCTTGGAGTTTGTTGTAAAGTACAAACCTACACAATGGGCTATCTGCACTCTGCCTACTGTGGGTGTCAAAACCCAATTGTTAGAATCATAAGCCCACCGTTTTACCACTGAGACACTCACTTTGGGGTCTTAATCAAATAGAAATATCTCATTTGATAATATCAACCACAAAAATTTCCAACATTTTGATTCTATTTATCAAAACATATATTTTAACCATTTTTATAAGCATCTAAAATTAAACTCCCTATTCATCAAACACCGGTACAGATGTATAAATGTATACAACAGTAAAAACCCAATACCTAGTTTGCTGTCATTATCATCATCACAGCCTTTATAAAAACTTTCATTTCAACCTTACATCTGAAAAGATAAAGCTTTCTGATACAAAACTTATTTCAACATACACCTCATTCTCAATACTTTTACACACGACAACAACATGACTATCACACTGAAAATATACTAATCAACCAATATTACGTGACTCACTTAATACTTTATATATACATGCTCCAGATCATATAATCTTAACACACACAATATATTTCAGTAAATATCTCTTTGCATATCTAGTGATCAATGTGTCTATTTGAAACATTACATAAACGTTTATACACCAATCAACCTATACTACTGGTTCACTTAATATTTAACCAAACAAGTCTGAAAACAAATTTTCATCTCTAACATCATATTCAGATTTCAAGATTCAATTACCATATACAAATCCTAGAACCAATGTTGTTCTACATTCATCTCGGACAATATGTCTCCTTCTGTGTTGTCTGATAAAAAAATGTACTTCCTTTAGCTTTGTTAAAATGCAAGCCAACATATTTTTTAATGAAAAATTGTATTTTTAAGATCCAGCAGCTAACAATGCATAAGCACTTATCACATAGATAAAAATAGAGCTAACGAGATTGAAAAGTTGAAAATGCACGAAGGTCCCAACACTTTCATATCAAGCATGTTTGTGTTTTTAAAGGTTTGGTGATAATGTTGTAATTGTGCTTATTACATATCCTGATGATAAACTTAATCTAACTCTTTTCGATGGATATATATTACAAAACTGGTCATAGGTAAAAGTCCAATAATAACAAAAAAACAGCTTATTTTCCTATAAAAACTTGCAAGATCAATCACACCCATTGGTAAAGCATTAATTCCAATTTCTCTGTGTTACATCCATATATATAATTTTGTAATTAAAATAAAAGAATTTTCATTTCCAAACGTAACTGCAGATCAATGACTGGGCACCATTAAAGGTGGATTGACTGATCTTGATCCACTGAGACACCTATTTTATATTTCAAACACTTTTGTTTCAACTGAGATAACTGCAGTAAATGACACATTTCAAAAGCTTTGCAAATTCCAATATGGCTAAAACTGAGAAAAATAACTTAGAAGTATGCAGGGAAAACAGTTTACAGTTATTTCTGTAAATAATGAAATTATTAGTATGTTGTTTTAAAACTTAAGTGTTTCAAAGATCATTTTCAGTAATTGCAAGTTTCAAATCTAACAAAAAAGGGACATCTGGGAGGATAGTTTAATTTAAAGAATTTCAAAATCAAATCAGTTCAAAACATCCACAGAAATGCAATAAACGAATACACATAGATTCAGCAAGCATTTTTTGAAAGGGGATGAAAGGAAGTGGTTTACATAAAAAAGCTACAAATAAAACAATATTTCATGTCCTCACATAGCCAAATGTTTAATCTTTGCAAATAATCATAAAATTATGAATAACAAATGGGACAGTATATCGTGGACTTGCAAAAAGAAAAGTTTGACATTTTGAAAACCAGGAAACTTTTTAGGCTGAGACATGATCATGAGAAGTTTAAGCAAGTATACATATGTATACATTGTGGAAGGTATTGTTGATATGAAAAAGGAATAATACACAACATCCTGAGTCATCACATAATACTCAATGGTTGACATTTAACTCCCCCCGACATTGAATTTGAGTAGTTTATTAATAATCCAAAATGTTCTGCTGAATAAAAGGTATTGGGGGGAGACAAAAGAAAAAAATAAAGCCTATGATATAAAAATCCAGCCTAAAATCCAGATGTTAATCCAATTAAAAATTTATGGCATCTGTTGATGGTAATATTGGAAAAGTGAAGCCAACAAATGTACATCTATCTTGGGAGATTGTGTAGCAAAAATGGAAGAAACATTGGTTGACAGTTTCAAATAACTAGAGGCATTCATACCTAATCAATGCCATCATAATTCAATCGAGAGGAAAAGCTACAAAATACTGGTTACTCAATTTCTTGTGTTCCAAAATGAATTTCCTATGTCTAATATTCTAACCTGTGTGTTCGTACCTTGGACCATGAATGAAAGGATAATTTGTATGTAGGTATGTCTTGAAAACAATTAACTTGAATTATTTGACACTTCCACATAGTTGTGTGAAATCATAAAATATTCTCTATTTAAAACAATACAAGCATACCTGTGTATTAAAGCACATTCACCATTTCCTTTACACATGTCAAATGTCATTATCCTAATAATACATGAAACTACATAACCACATAATAAAGACATACCACACATTCTATGGCTTTGTTTGCACTCATAGATTTGAGTTTGATTTTACTTTGTTTATAATAAACCACAGTTAATAACATTTTTAATCAATAATCCATCTGTAGGTCGGTTGATGGTGTAAATAAATCAAATAATCACTTTAGATCTACTTCTTTCATCTACTTCCCACGTCTTAAGGTTTTTTTTACTTTTATTACAGATACACTTAGTAGAATCATTATAATTCAGCTTTCATGTTGAATGATTTCATTGTCCTGTCATAAAAGAAATATAATATAAAGAAGTATGGAACTTTGCAAGCATGCAACAAGAATGGGTGTGTTAAGTAAAGATGTTTAATTGTAAATACATCTTTGATAAAGCCACATGCATATAACAGTGTTTTTATGAAACATTTTTTGTTGTTGTGACTTATTCTTGACACAATATATTCTATTTCTCGCCAAACTGCACGTACCTATTTTAATAACTTACACACAAATGTCATATTATTTTTGTCATCAACATCTTTCTCTCATCCACACTTACATCTATCTGGCAGGAACCTTTTTATTGCAAGTCTTTAAACGTTTAAGTCATAGACATATAGTAAACTTTAAAAATAAAATCTTAAGTCACCAACACATAATCTAAAATATCATGTATTACACACCAACAAGAATACACAAAAACACATCAATAAATATGGCAAAGTACAACAGCAATGTAAAGAGTAAAAATTAACTTGCTTTAGTAGCATTCCAAGCTGCTCAAGAATAACAAAAATTTGTGTACTCTAAAATAAAAAAAAACAAGCATGCTCATTAAAAGTTAAGTCCAAAATTGTTACACGTAGGACTAATGAGAAACCCCATATCCTCCACATCAAATGCAATGTTGACAACATAATATCTGGACACAAAATACAGTGATAATCAACAAAATGTGGACAACTGATGATATAAACACTAATTTATTATACTTTAAGAACAATACTCTTGTAAAAATATATAAAAGTAAAAGCACTGTTAAAAAAATTATTATAACAAAGTATGTCTACTGGCAAACAAGATTAAATAGCTTACTATTTTACATATCATTCTCATATGATGTCTTATTTAACTACACCACTAATATATTTTTAGAGATGTTTCGGGCATTGTAGCCTTCCTTTACAGAACTGTTCTTGTTAGCTATGCAGAAAGACTTGCATTTAATGGAAGTCACAGTGCAACACTGATATATATAACTACCAACAAACTCAAGACCTGGTCTTAAACAGAGAATTTTCACTTAGGACTGTACAATTGTAACATTAATGATATATCTAGATCTAATTTTTTTCAGGACCATGTAAATATAACATTAAACATTCAACCATCACCACTAAATTTGTGACCAGGCCTACATATGTACATACCTCTATTCAACAACATGGCATGAAAAGTAACCACTTCTCTCATTGTTCAATGACACTTGAACTACTAATCACTGTTAAAACTTGAAATTAGGTTCCCTCTCTAAAATGCATTTCCCTTTTTTTATTCTTACTTTGAAGATGCATTATATGATGGAGATTATGATGTCAGTACCTTATACACATCAAGACATGTCAGTACCTTATACACATCAAGAAATGTCAGTACCTTATACACATCAAGACATGTCAGTACCTTATACACATCAAGACATGTCAGTACCTTATACACATCAAGAAATGTCAGTACCTTATACACATCAAGACATGTCAGTACCTTATACACATCAAGACATGTCAGTACATACATGCTACATTTGTTATACATACATTTTTACATAATTATCAAGCTGGACCGTATGTACAAAAATATCAACATTTGATTCTTTAGCAAATCATCTGTGTAGTTAAAAAGTACTCCACTCTCCCTCACAAGTATCTAGTCATCTGTTGGTTCAGTAAAATAAAGTTTTGTGCATTAACTGTCTTTTTCCTGAACAAAAAAAGGTCATTCTAAACTACTCTGCTTACGTTACGACACCTAAGCATAAAACAAGTACTCTCTCTAAACAAACAAACAAAATTAAGTACAGGACTTATTTCCCAACGCTATCACCTCGAAACAAATGTAAACAAAAATTACAACACTTTTTACATTAAATCTCTCTCATCATTTCAAATATTTGTGAAAATTGTTTAAATAGTATATCTAAATTGCCAAATAAATGAAAAAAAATTAATCTAACTACATAGTTCCATGCTGGTGCTGTGGCTATGATACTGGTTTTAAGGAAATGAAAAATCACTCATAATTACTACTTTTGTTTTACTCCATATGGTTCATCTGACTGTAGAAAAGGTTATTCACTAATCACTTGATACATTAAATTTATATTTTTGTGGCTACTGTTTATATCCTATTTTAAATTTCAATAATTACCATAACATAGAGAAGAATGTTCTTAATTTCTCAGTCCATTTAAATCTAGGGCATCAAATTTACAAAAATGTACACCAATTGTGTCTAACACTAACTTACGAGGAAAAGTTAAATTGTAAGCAAACTGTTCATGGATGGGTGAATTTTTAATTTACATGCCATGAGCAAATTAATCAAAAGTTTAGTGATCAATAAAATAAATTTAAATTTCTTGAATGTATTCTACAATGTTTATTTATACAAGCTGAATTTTTACCAATATTTGCCATATACTCTTGATACAACTACAGTACTGAATTCCTGATAGGTCAGAATGACATAAATGTTCTGATTTCAGTCCAGGCACGATAATAACAAGTAAAAAAAAAATCTCAATATCTGGAAATTAGCCTCATAAAACCTAAACAAATATAGCACAATGGTATACAATCCCACAGTTTCATTCGTAGTTATACATTTTATGATAGTAGAATTATAGAACATCCAAGTTATTTGTGTTTTTGTGACATATGCAAGAACGACATTAAAACTGTCTACACTGAAAACTACAAATACTGATTGTTTGTTAAAATTATTAACTTCCATTAGTAGATACAAAGTCCTGATGAATGCACAAGTCATTAAATAGTTTATGAGAATGGGTGCTAAAAATCTGATACACAATGCTATTGCTTCATTGACTTACTAACCATGTTGTGAAGTGCTTGCTAATGCCATGTTCTGAGGAACAAAGGGGATCAGCTTCTGGTGACAAACCATATGACACTGTAAGCTAGCTTCTGAAACATAGGACTTTCTACAGATGATACACTGGTAAGGTTTCTGGATCGATGGGTGTCGTAAATGCAGTTTAAGATGAGTTTTCATGTTGCCTTTCTGTGTAAAAAGCCTACCGCACTGAGGGCAAGCAAATCGTCTTTCGCCCGTGTGAATAAGCATGTGGGTCTTGAGGTTGCCTTTCTGGCTGAAGGTTTTATCACAGATCTGGCATGGGTAGGGTCGCTTGCCAGTGTGAATGCTCATGTGATGGTCAAGCACCAGCTTCTGAGTGAAACTCTTTCCACATACTTTACAAGAAAATGGTTTGATCCCCTCGTGGTCCTGCAGATGTATCTGAAGGTTCCCTTTTAACGTATAACTCTTTCCACAATACTGGCAACGATACGGTTTCTCATTATAATGAGTACGCAGATGATAAATTAAAAAGCTCTTTTCCGAAAAGGCTTGAAAGCAGATTTCGCATGGGTATGGTTTATCACCTACATGGATTGTTTGGTGGTTCTGAAGACTTTCTTTAGAAGAAAAACATTTCCCACAGAAATCACAGATGAAAGATTGCATGACACCATGCATAGTGTAACAGTGATCCAGCAAAATTTTCTTTTGACTGAATTTCTCCTCACACATGTTGCAACTGAATATATCCAGAGAATGACAAGAACTATGTAAGCCACTTTCTTTTTCTGAATAAGATTTTCCACAACTACAGTAATACATCTTTACTGAATCACTCTCCATTCCAATCTGTAAATCTCCACTTGTTGAATGTTCCCTGCTAGATTTAGCTGATCCACCACTACGTGAGCTAGAAGCATTGTTCGTTTTTCTCTGCAAGTTGCATGGCAATGCTTTTGGATGCTGTTGATTATTTAGGTCAGGGCACGATGAAGTTTCAGGATTTTCTGATTCAGCTAGGCTCTGGACATTTTCTTGTAGGTGTTCACCATTTTGTGATGAAAGCCTAGCTAGAAAACTTAAAGAAGAATCCATGCTTGAAGCAAAGGATGTAAGAATGCCCCTGGAAAAAAAGAAAAAGAGCTATAGGTATCTAAGATCTATATAATATCTTATTATGGGTCCTTTTCAGTATAGAAGTGTACTTTTTCAGTATACTGTACACAATACATTGCAGAAGTCTTGTATACACATACAATTGCTCTTAAAGACAATCTTGTTATCTTCAATGAATATAATGAGAAGTACATACATAAACAAATGCAGTTTGTGGTATAATGGAGGTTAACACCTCAAGTTTATCCATGGCCAAAGGCCCCATTAGTACATCTTGACAAGGGCACCATTCCAGGGAAGAAACATTACAATACTGGTACCTTTGTCTTATAGACAATGTCCTTCACATACCCCACCCCAGCTAAACTAATGAGAAAAAACTTCAGACACCAGTTTATCTTGTGTGGTTCCTATTCAATTTAATTAAGAAAGTGGTTTACTAATTTATGTACACCATGTATGTGTCTAGTATATTTCTTAAATAACAAGTTACTGCAAAAAATGACAATACTTTTAACTTTAACAAATAACATGAAATATATACACACACACATACTTTATATTATAGGAGGAAATACAGAGCCTAAAGTTCAGCAACTGTAGTAGCAAATAAATTCAGCTTAAAGTATAACCCTATAGCATTACCAAATCCCTATCTTACATGTACATATATAAACTAATGCTCTTACAGTAAACATTTGGATCCTTAATTTATTACATGCCAGAAGTGACCTGAGCCTGAGGTAAAAAACACAAGATAGTTATCCATATACTTTTGATCAAAATTATGTGACAATTAAAAATAATAGTTTAATTTGTAGAGGCCAAAGATTCTAGAAACTTCATAACAAAGATGAACTGATCATTAAATGACTTATATGGCTGAAACTTTTAAATGGACATATGATGGGCTACATTTCATTTGGTTTTATGTCTTGGGTGAGAAAAGGATCACTCTTCTCTAACAAACAACTCTCTGTAACTTTGCTTTTTCTCAATTTTTCAAAAGCTGGAGAAATTCTAAATTTTTATTAAGAAAGGTATCAAAGAGAAACCAGAAAATTATGATATCATTAGTTTAAGTTTTATTAAAGAATTGTAGAAGGTTTTTGGCAAAAAAATCAATTACAAAAGACTTTTGAAAAAAGTATACTCTGCAGAAATTTAAAAATGGGATTTTTTTGTCTAACCAACTTAGTTTTTGACATGGCAATTACTATATTTTTAAATCATGGGGATATCATATGATTTAATTTTTAAAAACAAAACTTTTAACAAGGTGACACAAAAGATTGATTAGAAAGTTGAATTTCTATATTGATAGGAAGTGGCAAGAAAATTTACTTAACAGTATAAAATAAAGGATGATTATAAATTAACAGTTTTTTTATTGCAATAATATGGTTAAGTGAGTTCAACCCTATTTCAATATTTGTTAATAATACTAAAAACTATTGGAAGGTTTGATATTAAATGAGGCCACAATGTGAAATATTACGTCTTATGTACTGTATTTTTCGGTGTATAAGATGCACTTTTTTTACCCCAAAATTTGATGTCAAAATCTGCTTGCGTCCGATACACCGAAGGTATGAATAATGTATATATATACGATATACACAAGCCATGTGTAAATATATTTAAATAGGCATCCATAGTTTAGTTCAATTGAATGTGTTATTTATAACAATAGTAGTTTTTTTTTAAAACATAACTATTTATAATGCTCCCTAAATA